AAGTCAGAATCAGGGAGGTCTGGTGTAAGTCGCTCTCGAATCCGACGGCGCTGTCGAAGGAGCTCCAGTCTCTGGCCCGTCAAAACCGACCTCGTGGAGCCCGGCGGTGGACCTTTGGAGAAGTGCACGGCCCCAACCTCCCGAAAGATGCAGTCCAGGGGATACCAGATATCATCAGGGATCGGGCCGTCATGTTCAATCTGGGGCCACTCAGCCTGAAGTCGAGCCGCAACCTCCCTCAGAAAAGCTTCTCGAAGCGGTCCCCCTTATAAATTACTCATCAACTTATCTCGATCCCAGGAGACTTCCGCATATGCTCGGCCATCTGGAGAGACGAGTTGGGCAGCCCGCTGAGCCGCAGCAACATGAAGAACGCGAGCCTTAACGAGAACAGGGACGTGGTCTCGGAGCTCTCGAGTCCGAATGGCTTGTACCCGACGACAGAGACGATGAGTCGGACTAGCGACCAAGACCCGCTCACTCCAAGCCAGGGGGATCGCGACAAAGTCGATCATGCTAGTGCCCCCCGCAGATCCAAATAATGTCAGCGAGTGTGTCCTGATACTTGTGGGGACGAATGGCCCATATTCATGATACGCTTCCCGAAAGCACTCGCCAGCCCCCCCTCTATGATGCTCCCGTTTACGAACAGTTCCCAGGGACGGAGTCTCAACCTCGATCCATTTCCCATCAACCTTGGACAGCCCGAGCCCGTCGTTAATGTCTCCAAGCAGGATGGGGGCAACTCGTTGGGGCAACTTCTGCAGAGCCTCCCAGAGCCACTGTTTAAGCTGTTGGCACGCCGCTAGATACTGTCGAACCTGTTGGGCCTTGTTCGGGCGCGGGGGGAAGTACAGCACGACCACGAAGTACAAGTATCCCCCCCGCGAGATCTCTACCGCCACGCCCCTGCCCTGAAACTGCCGAGGAGGAAGGATGATACGTCGTATCGTTTTCTGAGGCCATCCAGGAGGGAGAGCAAGACAACACCCCGCGGCCTTCTTGCTGAACCCACCCTGCCTCCCGCCTGCATGAACCAAGACCCGCCTCGACTGCTGAACGATTCGGTAGCCCTCTCCGTCGATCTCCCGCAGCTGGGTGCCGGCAAGCCCAATCAAATCAAATCTCTGAAACTCATCCAATAACTCAATCATGCGATCCCCGCTGGCGTGCAACGGGTTGAAGAGGAGGGTAGAGAGAATGCGAGACGCCATCGGGCCTAAGGCTGGCCCAAGAGCCCCAACGAGTGTCAGGAATGCAACAGGCCAGAAGGGATGGCTCATTGGCCTGATGTGCTGCGCAGCTGGTCAAACCCAAGCGGCAGCTGGAGGAGGAGGAGGAGGAGGAGGAGGAGGAGGAGGAGGAGGAGGAGGAGGGGGAGGAGGGGGAGGAGGGGGAGGAGGGGGGAGGAGGAGGAGGACACCGGATGTCTGGATAGCCCCCCCCCCCCACTGAACACGCTGGGCATCCGCTGGGCCACGGGCGCCAGAGGAGACCAGCGGCCAGACAAGGTGAGCCGGCAGCGGGCTGCCAAGGGGCCGCTGGTGTGGGCCCGCTTGGAGCAGGCTGCGCGCGGCCACGCGCCTGCGGTGCACGCTCTTCGGGTACAGTCGGGGCCTTGACCTAAGGAACCCAAAATAAGGAACGAGGCACCTTTTTTCCATCAGTTAGACTTCGATTTCCGATCGAAAACATAAGGAAAACCGGAGGCAAGGTGTGAAACACTTAAGGAACGCGGAGCCCCTCCCCAACGAAAAGGGTTCCTTCTTCAGGGCCCCGACTGTACCTCCTCTGTCTGCGTGGTGTCCCGATCAATCAGCGGAACATCTCGCGCCGAGTCCACAAGAGGCGCCCAACTGGCTTCCAGGGCGGCCCCATGACGGCTCCAATGCTGCCCAAGACCGCCCTGGGACAGCCCCAGGACCCACCCGGTCAGACCATCACCCCTTCCAAATTGCCCCCGCAGCCTTCCGACCAGGAGCCCAAGGAAGCCCAGGAAGGCCCCGAACAGAAACCCCAATACAGCCCCATGAAGGCCGCAAAACGGGACCACATGGTCAACCACATGCGCGAGGAAGCCAAGGTCCGGAACATATACTTGAAACCATACATGAGTGTTTGCCATGGGGGCCCGTCTGGACTCCCGCTCTGCGAGCTCCTGGTGGAGGACAAACCGTTTTCAAAACGCGGCAATCGTTTCAAATGTCCTCGCTACACGGATGTATGCACAACATATCGTGCGATCTGTTTGGTGCCGCACATTTTTTTCTGAACCATGCTGCCATGCACACGGGAGAATAAGCTGGTGGTCCTCGTAAGTCACTGCATTTTCCGCTGAAGTATGCGCCCGCTGCAACTGTGAGGGTCCAATTGGCCTGCGTGGTGAGAAGGCCCCTCACCTGTGTAATCATCAGCCCTCTGGGCTTAGGTGGTATAACGCGTTTTTGTTCTTCTCTCTTCCACTGAAACCCCTCCCCCTACCCCCTCCCCTGGGCCTGGACGGTGCGCGCCGCGAGGCGTTAGAGCGTCCAAGATGGCCCAAGATTGCTCCAAGAGGCGTTCAAAGTCGCAAGATGGCCTCCAAGATGGCCCATGTTACTTCAAGATGGGTCAAGATAGCCGCCGACCTACCCCCAAGAGGCCCCAAGACAGCCCCAAGACGGATCCAAGTGCCCTTCGAGCCCTCCACGGCGCTCTCCAAGATGCCAATACCCTTCAACAGCCTAGAGCAAATCAATGTGTTTGGCATTCTCGCCTTTTCGCTTCCGATGGGATTTGGAAGCCGCAAGATGGCACCATGATGGCCCAAAAGGGCCCCAAGAGGGGCCCAAGAAGGCCGACGATGGCCCCAAGATCGCCCAAGAGGCGGCCAAGAGCGCTCCAAGACGGCCCCAAGACGCCGTTTGAGAGCCTCCGGGGGGGGATCCTAAGGAACCTCCTCTTTTTGAGACATGGGGCCCAAGATGGCCCCAAGAGGCCTCCCAGCCTCCCCTCGCCTGCCGAGGCTCCGAAAACTGACCCTCCAGGCGGCGGTCGTGTACAAATTTCCGCCTCGGAAGGCCTCCAACATGGCCCCAAAGATAGGTGGCGAGCGAGGGGGGGAAGTGAGAAGGGGCGGGCCTTCTACTCGAGCACCTTCATCGTCATCGGGTTTACCAGCATCGGCGCCGCCATTGGCATTGCCGTCGTCTTCGTCATCATTGCTGCCGCATTCGTCACTATCATCATCGTTGCCGCCGTTGTCGACGTCACACTGATACGGGCGCAGAGAAGTTCCAATCGGTTAGCGCCATCGTGGCCGCATCGGCTGCACCAAACCAACTGGTTGTTCTGCGCTCGAGCTTGCGCGCGCCAGCGCGGCCGCAGAGATGCGCCAGCCATAGCCAAACAGTCATCGCAATCGCCGCCGCATGGGTCGACATCGTCTTCGTCATCGCCACCGTTGCCTGCTAAGGTTCTGCCCGCCACGTTACTACGGTAAAACAGGGCTAGGATCGGGACAAATCGCTCCAGAGCGTTCCGGAGCGCTCTCAGAGCGTTCCGGAACGCTCTGGAGCGGCCGCGGCGCCCAATACATCCTCCAATTCCGCCGATTCTCAGAGATTTCGAATTATCCCGATCCGATTTTGTCCCGATCTTCGCGTCGTTCTATACGGGTGGTGGGGGTGGGATGCTTGCACGAGCGTGGGAGGTGGCCGCGCGTGGTGCGGTGTCCATTGTACCACCCAGACCCAGAATTGGTGGTCTCCAAACCAGGTGGTGAGACACCCGGTGGTGACCCCGATTCCCCCCAAAAATAATTCTGGGTCACCACCGGGTTTGGGGACACGCGGTCGCCACGAGGTTTTGCGTTTCCTGGGCCAGCCAGCGCTCGAAAACCATTACCCAAATCGCCCAAAACTCACCACCGGGTGTTCTCACCACCACGTTTGGGGACCATCAACAGAACTCCGACGCCGTGATTTCTTCACAGCGTCGACCCCGAGAGGTCCAGACCCCCTCCCCGGGGACCGGCCTGTCGTCCGGAGTCGTCTTGTGGACTGCCCCGAGGCCCGGTGAGGGCCCCCAGGGGCCGAAAAGAGCAAAAAAAACCTCCCGTCGCGATCTTGTTCACAACGTTTGCATTGGTTGCCCAATTGTGGCCGCCTCTCTTCCTAATTTGTTTGCAGGTGCTCCGCGCGTTCTCGCGCCAATTCTCTTGTGCTGTGCCCCAGCCTCGGTCATACCGCCGTCTGGACTTTTCCTTGCGGGCCGCTAATCAAAAAAAAATCTTGTTCACAACGCGAGGGGGTCTGGGGATTGCGCCACATGGATTGCACCACCCAGATTGCACCCCACAGGCTGCACGAAACCGCCGTGTTGGGGCCCGCGCTGGCTACATAGTAACGTCGTCCTGCTCCACGGCGCGCGGAGGTCTGGCAGGGAGGCAGCGGAGCCTTCGAGGCGGCCAGGGGGCCCTGAGCTGTCCTGGGACCCTGGCAAATCGATCGGCAGGGGGGGCGAAGCCAAGTTTAGGTCGGGCCTGCCTCCCTACACGGGGGACTTTGGACGAAACACAAACAGCGGTTCAAGCAACACTCCAACAAGAAAGGCTCCACAAATCGTCCCCGGAGTATGTCTGGACAATTTCTGACAATTTCCTCCTTCAGGTCGGGCGAAAGGGGGGGATAGCAAAGGGGGGGTTTGAAAATCAGCTCACGTAGCTGATTTTCCCGGCGCCTCCCGGCGCCGGAGGCGGCTATGTATCGAGGAATGGGCCCCTCGGTGAGGCCGAAACCAGCTGCATGCAGCAAATTTCGTAACCCCCCTTTCCCAATCCCCAACTTTCGCCCGGCCCGACTCCTGTAGAGGGACATGCCCCACTTAAACCCAAGTCCGCTCAACATCGGTCCAAGGAACCCTCCCGGGGTCCATCCGATGCAGCTTTTCGCTCCGGATCCGTTGGTGACGGCCCCGCGGGGCCCCAAAAACGACTCCCAGAGGCCGGAGACGGCGAGAACCTCGCCGCGCCCAGCACGTCGAGAGCCTCTTCCCCCCGCACCTCCTGGCCGGAGCCAGCGCTGGACCGCCGCAGACCCCTGGTCGACGCCAAGCGGAGCCCGGGGAACTTCATGGCCCGCCTGCCCGTCGACGTCAGGTCGCTCTTGAGCTCCAGCCCCCGGAAGTCGGCGGCGAACACCTCGGCATGCGGCTTCTCCCCGATCAGCGAGATGCCGACAGACTTCACCTCGACCTGCGCGGCGCGCGGCGGCGGGCGTGGCGCGAGCCTCGTCGTCGCCTCGGAGGCCTCCCCTGGAGGAGCAACGCATGACACAAACAGGAACTTTTGGAGCTCCGCTCGGATTCCTCGGATCTGCGCTGGAGCCCCTCCCTGGCGCGCGGAGCGCGCCAGGGGCGGCGCCAGAGGCGCCGATAAGGGGCTCCAACGCCGATCCGAGAAATCCGCGCGGACTGCGCGCTCCTCTGAAGGCTCTGGGAGACGTAAGACTCGGGTACGGGGGTCTCGGGTTGGCCCGACGGGGGCCATCACAAAAATGGCCCAATCTGAAATCTGACGCGGGCTCCCGCTGCAGACATCTCACGAAAACTGGACCGTCAAAATCCAGGACGCGCTCGTCAAAAAACGTCGGCAAACCCGAGTTCCGGCTTACTCGAGTCTTGACCCGAAAGGCTTCGCAGCGGCCGCGGCTGAACAAGCAGGTCCAGGTGGACCCCTGGAGGGGCCCATGCATCGGCGCCGAGTGGATTTCGGTCGGCGTGAGGGGAAGAGAGGAGGAGGAGTAGGAGAAGGAGTAGGAGTAGGAGTAGGAGTAGGAGTAGGAGGAGTAGGAGTAGGAGTCAAGCTAGCCAGCTCGAGCGAGTCAAGCATGGCATGCCCAGTCCCACCCGCCCTCCCACAACATAAGAAGCAAAGCTGGCACAACTGGGGGCCGAAGTCACACCGGCCAGCCGGTTTGGTACAGCTGATGCGGCCGCGATGGCGGTTGCCGACGGGAACTGGCGAGCGCGTGTTGAATGCCGCGCACGCATTGCCAGACGAGTCGAGAATGGCCCGGTACACCGCAGGAAGCCAGAGGTGGCCGGAGGAAACCCGACGGTCTGACAGGACACCCCAAAGCATTTTTGTGAAAAAGCATTGGGTTCTTGATGTTTTTAGGTTGAAATGCTTGCAGAAACACGGTATTCGGTAGGATTCTGACATGAACGCGCGAGTGCGCTCTTTGTAATATTTTTTGCACAGGATTCGCGGCCTGGGTGCATGACAGAGCATCGCGAGTGCACCGCGCGATGACGTGAAATCGCTGGATTTGACAGAATTCTTAAGATTCCTATGGTTTTCCTATGATTTCAGCAAGAGAGCCCGGGCGGGAAATTTGTACAATTTTTGTGAAAAAGCATTGGGTTTTTGATGTTTTTATGTTGAAATGCTTGCAAACACACGGTGTTCGGTAGGATTCTGACATGAACGCGCGCGTGTGCTCTTTGTGGTATTTTTTGCAATGGATTATCGCCGTGGACGACAGGACGTCCATGTCGAGAGGAAAAAATAAGAAAAATGTTGATTTTGTATTGTTTTTTACAGGTTAGGATGGGACCACCCGGATGCGCCCGCTATCTGCCGGCCTGAGGGGGGAGTAGGAGTATATTCTAATAAGGAATAAGGATAAGAGTAGGAGTAGGAGTAGGAGTCAAGCTAGCCAGCTCGAGCGAGTCAAGCATGGCATGCCCAGTCCCACCCGCCCTCCCACAACATAAGAAGCAAAGCTGGCACAACTGGGGGCCGAAGTCACACCGGCCAGCCGGTTTGGTACAGCTGATGCGGCCGCGATGGCGGTTGCCGACGGGAACTGGCGAGCGCGTGTTGAATGCCGCGCACGCATTGCCAGACGAGTCGAGAATGGCCCGGTACACCGCAGGAAGCCAGAGGTGGCCGTGTCGAGAACGGCCCGGTAAAGCCGGGTCCCATTCCTGCCATGCATTTTGCGACGTGGACGACAGGACGTCCATGCGACGGTGCCAATGACGGCGACGACTCTAGAAGGATTTGAGCATGCGCTCGCGGCGACGCGCGCGCATGTCGCCCGCGTGGTATTTTTTGCACAGGATTCGCGGCCTGGGTGCATGACAGAGCATCGCGAGTGCACCGCGCGATGACGTGAAATCGCTGGATTTGACCGAATTCTTAAGATTCCTATGATTTTCCTATGATTTCAGCAAGAGAGCCCGGGCAGGAAATGTGTAGAGGTTTTGTGAAAAAGCATTGGTTTTGTTTTTAGGTTTTTATGTTGAAATGCTTGCAAACACACGGTGTTCGGTAGGATTCTGACATGGACGCGCGCGTGTGCTCTTTGTGGTATTTTTTGCAATGGATTATCGCCGTGGACGACAGGACGTCCATGTCGAGAGGAAAAAATAAGAAACATGTTGATTTTGTATTGTTTTTTACAGGTTAGGATGGGACCACCCGGATGCGGCCCCTATCTGCCGGCCTGAGGGGGGAGTAGGAGTATATTCGAATAAAGAATAAGGATAGGAGTAGGAGTAGCAGTAGGAGTAGGAGTAGCAGTACCAGTAGGAGTAGGAGTCAAGCTAGCCAGCTCGAGCGAGTCAAGCATGGCATGCCCAGTCCCACCCGCCCTCCCACAACATAAGAAGCAAAGCTGGCACAACTGGGGGCCGAAGTCACACCGGCCAGCCGGTTTGGTACAGCTGATGCGGCCGCGATGGCGGTTGCCGACGGGAACTGGCGAGCGCGTGTTGAATGCCGCGCACGCATTGCCAGACGAGTCGAGAATGGCCCGGTACACCGCAGGAAGCCAGAGGTGGCCGGAGGAAGCCCGACGGTCTGACAGGACACCCCAAAGCATTTTTGTGAAAAAGCATTGGGTTTTTGATGTTTTTATGTTGAAATGCTTGCAAACACACGGTGTTCGGTAGGATTCTGACATGAACGCGCGAGTGTGCTCTTTGTGGTATTTTTTGCACAGGATTCGCGGCCTGGGTGCATGACAGAGCATCGCGAGTGCACCGCGCGATGACGTGAAATCGCTGGATTTGACAGAATTCTTAAGATTCCTATGGTTTTCCTATGATTTCAGCAAGAGAGCCCGGGCGGGAAATTTGTACAATTTTTGTGAAAAAAACATTGGGTTTTTGATGTTTTTATGTTGAAATGCTTGCAAACACACGGTGTTCGGTAGGATTCTGACATGAACGCGCGCGTGTGCTCTTTGTAGTATTTTTTGCAATGGATTATCGCCGTGGACGACAGGACGTCCATGTCGAGAGGAAAAAATAAGAAAATGTTGATTTTGTATTGTTTTTTACAGGTTAGGATGGGACCACCCGGATGCGGCCCCTAATGGCCGGCCTGAGGGGGGAGTAGGAGTATATTCTAATAAGGAATAAGGATAGGAGTAGGAGTAGGGAGTAGGAGTAGGAGTCAAGCTAGCCAGCTCGAGCGAGTCAAGCATGGCATGCCCAGTCCCACCCGCCCTCCCACAACATAAGAAGCAAAGCTGGCACAACTGGGGGCCGAAGTCACACCGGCCAGCCGGTTTGGTACAGCTGATGCGGCCGCGATGGCGGTTGCCGACGGGAACTGGCGAGCGCGTGTTGAATGCCGCGCACGCATTGCCAGACGAGTCGAGAATGGCCCGGTACACCGCAGGAAGCCAGAGGTGGCCGGAGGAAGCCCGACGGTCTGACAGGACACCCCAAAGCATTTTTGTGAAAAAGCATTGGGTTTTTGATGTTTTTATGTTGAAATGCTTGCAAACACACGGTGTTCGGTAGGATTCTGACATGAACGCGCGAGTGTGCTCTTTGTGGTATTTTTTGCACAGGATTCGCGGCCTGGGTGCATGACAAAGCATCGCGAGTGCACCGCGCGATGACGTGAAATCGCTGGATTTGACCGAATTCTTAAGATTCCTATGGTTTTCCTATGATTTCAGCAAGAGAGCCCCCCGGGCGGGAAATTTGTACAATTTTTGTGAAAAAAAAACATTTTTTTTTTTTTTTTTTTTTTTTTTTTTTTTTTTTTTTTTTTTTTTTTTTTTTTTAAAATGTTTTTATGTTGAAATGCTTGCAAACACACGGTGTTCGGTAGGATTCTGACATGAACGCGCGCGTGTGCTCTTTGTGGTATTTTTTGCAATGGATTATCGCCGTGGACGACAGGACGTCCATGTCGAGAGGAAAAAATAAGAAAAATGTTGATTTTGTATTGTTTTTTACAGGTTAGGATGGGACCACCCGGATGCGGCCCCTATCTGGCCGGCCTGAGGGGGGAGTAGGAGTATATTCTAATAAGGAATAAGGATAGGTAGGAGTAGGAGTAGGAGTAGGAGTAGGAGTAGTAGTAGCAGTAGTAGAGTAGTAGTAGTAGTAGTAGTAGTAGTAGTTAGTAGTAGTAGTAGTAGTAGTAGTAGTAAGTAGTAGGAGTAGGAGGAGGAGGAGGAGGAGGAGGGGAGGAGGAGGGGAGGAGGATTGTGTGTGGGATGGGATTGAGGGGGGGGCAAAGGGGGGGCGGCCTGCTGAGACGGCAGGGGGCTCCTTTGAAACGGCTTTACGACGAAGCCAAGGCGAGGAGAAAATCGGGTGAGGATAAGTCGAGAATCTCTGAGATCAGGCGGCTGCGGAGGATGACTCGGGCGCCGCGGCTTTCTCTGAACGTGATGGAAAGCTCTGAGAGCGTCCCCGAAAGCTCTGGAACAGATTTGTCCTCGTCCAACCCCGTCCGAGGCCTCTTTTTGGAAGGGGGGAGCTGGCTTTCGAGAGGCGGGGGGCGGGGCAGCGCGGGGGGTGGGGCGGCTTGCTGAGACGGCAGGAAGCTCCTGCGAGAAAGTTTCTCTTTGGAAGGCACGCGTTGGCTTTCGAAAGGCCGGGCGGGGGTATGGGGCGCAGGGGGGAGGGAGGATGGAGGAGAAGGCGGAGAAGGAGGAGGAGGAGTATGGGTGCCCTGGGAAAGGAAGAGGGCAGGCGGACACGAGCACAAACGAGAAGAGGGCAAATGAGTTAGTCTCAGCCGCCGTGCTCTAGCCTAGCGCCTCTACCTGTATAGTAATGCGCGTGATGCACGGCGCGATGCGACAGGGTCTGCATGCGAGACAGCCGCCGTGCGCACGGCAGTGGATTTGATATTGTAGTAAATGTGGATTGCCAGTACGATCCTTGAGATCGTGGTCGGCAAAGACATCGGGCTGGTGGGTCCAGCTGCATATGCTGCGGCCGTGCCCAACCCCTTTGCCGTCAGTGTTGAATGGGCGAGGGGGAGGTCAGGGAGCCAGAGGAGGTGGTGCGGGAATGATTCAGGCGCGCCCGTGCATCCGAGCGCGCACTTGCGCTGCTGAAGAATCTGCATCCTCGCCGGTGTAGCCCAGGCACTGCTGAGGGCCTCGAATGTGGCCCAGAGCTCACTCGGGCGCAGCTGCTTAAGAGCATCGGTCAGCGCTTCCCAGCGAATATGTGGCTCACTCTGTGCCGGGGGCGCATGAAGGCTCCAGGCATGGAGGCGCTCGACAAGCATAACCATGAAAGGCGTCCTGCAGCGCTGATCGCGTAGCTTGACAGCATAGATGCGACGGAACTTGGCTCGGCGGAGTGGGTTCGCAGCTGCCGCCACGCTCTGCGCATTGTTAGAGGCGCAGGCGGCAGCGGCGTTGGACTGGCACGGGAACGGCAGATGAGCTGTGTGACGCATGAGATAGCGGTGGCGCTGTACGCTGACTGCTTGGGGAGACCAGCGCGTTTCGCATGCGCCTTAAGACGACCCTGCTGAAATGCGTGCTTCAGAGGCAACAGCTGGTAACAGGGCGGATTGTATGACTATAGGCTGTGCACAGTGAGCAGCGGTGGGAACAGTGGGGGGGAACTGCGAAGCATAGCTGCGCCTGGACAGCCCTGGTGTATAGTAAAAGCGGGCGGTGGCGGTGCTGCCACTCTGCCGTTGCTGAAGTGAATTGACCCGCCGCCGCCACGTCTGCCCAGGGGCGAGCCTTGGACAGGCCATTGAGGCCTCGGGCCCGAGAACAGAGCCCAGGAACTCGGCTCGCCCCGCAACCGAAGAGCAGTCTCAGAGAGGACCGAGGGCGACCAGGAGCGCTTTCTGGAGGGCGATGGTGGCCGGGGGCGCGTCAGGCCAGAAGGGCGCGAAAAAGCCTTTCCGCGGCTTCGCAGAGAGGGGCGCATGCACCTCCATAGTGGTAAACATGGAGATCACTTGGCTCAGCATGTCGATCAGGTGCGTTTGCAGATCGACGTCCAGGCTCGGCGTGCCGTTCGGGGACCTAACGAAAGCAGCGAGGTGGTGGGAGATCGGGCCCGCGGCTATCACCCATGCCACATCTGACGCAGGGCAGCGCTGCACCACTCCAGACCCGATTACGAACGCGTCGTGGCGATCGCCGTTGAACTTGATGTAGCTGGCCGGTGAAGTACATGGCATGGGAGAAGTTCACGTCGCCCCAGAGGCCAAAGCTGGTGGCGACGAGCTTGGTGACGGTAGCGACTGGCAGCGATCCAGCGCGGTGCTTCGCGGCGTCTCAACGGTCGCTGAGCTTGGGGATGATGCGCCCATGGGTGAAGCCCTGCTGGGTACTGTGCGGGCGATTTGCCACGGAGCTCTCGACCGGGAGATTAGCAGCACCTGCGCTGCGGTGGTTATGATATCCACGCTTTCAGCGAGAGCGGGCGAGCGCGCGCGGGCGCGCTGTAGTTGGCGAGCCCGTCCTGCGTGTTATCGCCCTTCAGCAGGAAGGCGATGACGGGGTCGTTCAGGTCGCGGATGTAGCACTGGCCCGAGCGGAAGAAGGAGGGGGGACCTTCAGACACGCGAGGCGAGGTTCTGCGCGCGAGCCAGACGTAATACGGCAGAACGACTGGGCCAGATGCGCGCGAGGGTGCATTGCTCACGAGGGCCTGAAGCTGCGGACTGGCGGGCGCCCCGGCGTCAGCGGGGGCGCCCTTCGGCAGCGGCGTGAGGATGTAGTCGGTGATGTTGACAATGTTGGGATGCTTCGCGACGGGGGCGGGGTGCCAGTGAGCGCGTAGCGCAGCAACAATGGACGCAACGTCAGGATGCAACGCGATGAGGCGATATGGTTACGCGGCACAAGGCTGGATGCGGTGATGTGGATGCTCGGCAGGGGGCCCAAGACTATCTGGAGGCTCGGGACAACGCACGTAGCAATATGAATGGCGGCTAGCAGCTCCAGAAAAATCCGCAGGAATGGACGGCGCCTCGACCTTGGTGATGACAGCGACAATGTAATCGGCGCGGTTGACATTCATGATGACCAGGTGCGTGCTCGAGACAGCGCGCAGGAACATTGACAGCTCGATGCGCTCAGGGTCGAGCTTGAAGTGAGTGGGGCTGTAGACTTCCAGGAGAATGATATTGCGCTTCCGTTTCATGTACCTGGCGACAGCTAGTTGGGGGATGAAGCGTCTGCCCTTGAAGGACATATGGTCATGCGTGCGCTCAGGGACGATGGTGATCGGCGCCGCAACGGTGTCAAGCTGCCGAGGAGCACAGCGATGGCCATGTGCTCCAGGTAGCCGACTCCGCGTCGGAAAAGAGCGCCTGGAAGGAGGTGCGAATGATGCCTCCGTCGATGGACTGGTACTGCGGACTGTCAAAGGCTCTCTCTTTCTACTGGAGGATGGAGGGGTCTGCCTGGCCACGGATAATGATTTTGGCGATGGGCATGCAGTCGCAATGGATCCCTCCGTTGGTGCGGAAAGCTCTCCACCGCAGACGAGGGTAGCGCTGCTGCAATTGCTGAAGGAGCTTCTTGGTCTGGACTTACGGTCTGATCTGCTTGGGGGACTTGCCGGGGTTGACGTAGATGTCAGCTGGCTGGCCTGCTGCGTCAGTTGAGGCGCGCCGCTTCCATTGGCCAGCTGCATTGCGCATTGCCCGCGAGAGAGCCAGCGCACGGGGTACTGCGCCAGCACTGTCTCTTTTGAATTATAGGAAAAACGGCGAGCAGGCGCGCCACCTCCGAGCAATTCCACGTGATTCGACTGGAGGTTGGCTTCTGCAATCCATTCCTGTAAGTCGTTGAGCACCACATTCGGAGCCACGAGGCGCTGGCAGCCCACGACGAAGAGCGTCGGACCAGGCTGACGGTCCCATTCGGCAAGACGGCCGAGGCCTGCGATCGGAGCCTGTGCTTCTGCGAGGGCAAGAATGTCGCGCATCTGGTCGATATGTTGCCACTTTCGCTGCTGCTCTGAAGCAGCGCGAGCGACTTCGCCATGGGGTGCATCCATTCGGCGTTCAGCAGCGGCACCATCTTGTTGAACGAGCAGGCGGAATTTTTCACGATCTTCAGCGAGGAGCTGGACAGCTTGTTCTTGACCCTGGGAGGCGGCAGTGGCGACTTGTCGACGCATGAGTTCCCGAAGAGCGACATCGAGGTCTTCGGGTATCACGGGTAGAGGTCCATGTCGTTCTTGATGCGCATGATGTGGTTCGTGCTATGATGCAGGAGTAGCGTGTCCAGTGACTGGAGCGGCTGGCGCAGCAGCAGGTTCCGGAACACAAGTAGGAGCCATTTCGATATCACGGGCGGGTTGTCCGGCGGCTGCGGGCCCCAGCTGCTGCTCGATGTACTTGGCGTTGGCCCATGGGTCAGCGTCGCCCTGAAGGGGATCGCGAGTAGCAGGACCGCGTGGCTTATCGCTCTCTGCCATGGCCACGGCGGGGGCTTCGGGCGCAGCACTTCCTCCTGATCTGGCTGACCTGCGCATCGGCGTCGGTGGGTGGCGAGCGGAGCCTCGACCTACTGCGCGGGGTTGCTGCTGAGGCGCACCTGCGGGGCCTTGACAGCTGAATCCTGCGTTGTCACGGTGTTCCTGGAGTTCGCGAGAAGCGCGTCGGCCATCTCAGCGGGGTTATTCCCGTCGATGCTGGCGGTCGTCGTGGCGTCGTTCGTCGCGGCGGAAATCTTCGCGGCGATGGTGGCGGTCCTCTCGGCGACTGCGGGGCGTGGAGCCGCTGGATTGGTCGTCCCTGTCCGAGGAAGCGGCGGACAAGGCGTTGTAGCACTGACATTGGATATCGAGGTGCCGTTCGACGATTCGCCACTGGCCAGGTGCACTGCAAGACCACCGCGTACTTGACTGACTCTCGTTGGCTGGGTCGGAGCAGCACGCGATGGCTCGATATGGGAGCGCGGCGCTGCGTGCGATGCGGAAATATGGGTGCTCGGCACTGGGATCGAGACGGACTGGGCGCTCTGCTCGAGACGCACATCTATATGAAAAGGCGGCCTGCAACGCCGGAATGGAACGCAGGAGTGGACGGCAGCTCGTCCCTGGGTGTGGCTGCAAAACAACTGGGGCTGGCCGCGGACTCGCGGCGCCCGCGCCGCGCTCGCGGCGGCGCGCCTTCCTGAGCCAAAATGGCCACGGACGGATGCGGAGGGGGAGGGGGGGGGGGGGAGGAGGATGAGGAGGAGGGGGAGGAGGAGGAGGACGTCGGTAGCCATTTTGGCTACTTGTTTAGTTTTCTTTGCGAACCACGCGGGCACCGCTGTTCCGCGGCAGTCAGCAATCCACTCGCCAGGTCCCCCCCCGGCAGAGCGCTCGCGTGCAGTTCCGCCCCGGCAAGCGCATCCTTCCCCGCTCAGCTTCGGACCTGAGGGTCCAATGGGCAGTTGTTGGTCTTGCCCGCGAACGAAGCGGCGCGGATGTCGCTGCAACTGCGCGCGTCGCGCGTGCGGGCGAGCTCCCCAGAGGCTCCGCGGGGCCATCAGGGTTCGAGGCCACCCGGGCCAGAGCCCGAGCGCTACGGCGGCCCCCCCAGTCCCTTCGTCGCCGAGATCCTACGCCGCCATGGAGCCCGATGGCTTCGATCTCATCAATGACAAGTGGCATCCTCGGACCCTTGGGCGCGCGCGCGCGGCGCGCGCTGCCCTCTCGGGGGAGCCGCAGGCGCGCGCCAACCAGGCTCGCATCAAGCAAGGATTGCACAGGCAACAACTCGACCGCGCGCAGTCCAAGTTCGACCGCGCCAAGGCCACCATGGCGGAGGCGCCCAGGTCCGTCGCCGACGCCAAGGCCCGGCTCGAGAAGGCCCAGGCAACGGCCAGCGCAGCCGCAGCGGAGGCAGCCCAAGCCTCCCGCAGTCTCGGCCGTCTCGGCCTATAAGCCCAGAACGAACGCGCTGCCGCTTTACACGCCCGGGCCAACGGGAAACGCGATCAGCCAAGGCCAGAGGGCCCCGCGGCCAAGGAGAAGTTCGAGGAGCTACAGCAGCAGCTGGACCGAATGGCTAAGGACCTCGGCCACGGTGATCCTCCTAATCCTCCTCCTCCTTCTCCCCCCCCCCTTCCCCCCCCGCTCCTGCGCCCGCCGCTGCCGCCGCGGCCGCCGCCAAGAACGAGGGGGGATCGACGGGCCAGCCCCCGCGGGCGTGGAACTCAATGCTCTTCTCCAAGACGCCGCGTTCATTGAAGACGCACAGCAGAAGCGCGGGGTCAATCGCGAGCTCACAGCCTGTCTCCTCGCGGAGGCCGAAGAACACTTCAATGACGCCAGCGGCTCCGCTCAGGCTCCCCGGCCGGCACGTTAGCTACGCCTTCGTCGCAGCCAACGTCGCCGGCCCCTCGGGGCAAAATTACGTGCTCGCCGCTTCAAATGAAAAGGCGAGCACAGGCAGTTCGAGTTCAGGAACACCATCAGCTGCACACCACCGATATTGGACATCGGTTACGATGCGCCAGTTGGCATGCGCGCGCGGGTGCTGCTGCATCATCAGACTCGGGCCAGGGGGTTGGAAGAGTGGCGTCGCCATGATGACAGCGGCGCATGGTCTCAGTGAGTTGGAAGGTATGCCTACCAATGTTGCGCCAGGCAGAGTCGCGGGGATGCGCTGTGGTGGTGTCTGTCCCGGGGGCTTCTGGAGGATAGGAGTCGACCGTCATCGTGGCGTTGGATTGGCGGCGGCGGACTGCTCTATCTTTTGCAGCAAACTACGAATCATCGTTAAGCCAGTCAGTATGCCTTTCGTGATCCACGGTGATGGGAACATCGATTCAAGAGTGTCGCGTGGCCCACAGTGGGTTCACAGTGTCGATGCCGTCATTCTCGCCACCCCGCTGCCAACTTTCAGCTCGAGCAAAGGAGGAGGCACGCTGGACTATTTTGTTGTCCATCACTCGTTGCAGCATGGGCATTGCGTCAAATTACTGTCGTCTGTGGCCAGGGAGCCACACAAGCCAGTGCTGCTCCGCCTGCAAGCCTCCACCGACAAACCGTTGATCACGCAGAGGTCCAGGCTCCCCGCAGGTTTCCCCACGCTCGGCCGTCGGGTGGCCAGAGGGACGATTGATCTCTCCGATGGCCACAGTTGCAGGAAACTGACAGTTTCCGAAAAGTGTTCAGCCACCCAGCACGGCTCCGCAGAGGCGCCGAAGGGACTTCGCTACTCTTGCCGAGCAGCAGCTTCTCGATGTGTTCCAGGTCGAGCTTCAGCAAGAGCACGCCTACACTGGCAGGAGTCAGCCCCTGCAGAACGAGCAAGTTCGATGTCGTATTAGCGTCGGCGCCCGCTTCCGCGTCTGAGCGCAGTTGCCACCTGGTGGAGGCGCGTCGCCCACGCCGTGCACTCGCTCAGCTCCTTGCGCCCCACGCTTCTGCGAAGGAGGGCCCATTAAGCCTGCCGGCGCCTGCTGCGCGAGGCGCAGTCCGCTGCTCTTGCCACGGCCCCTGCAGCTGCGCAGCCGCGGCCTCATGTGCCTGGCAGCGCGCCGCAGCTATCGCCAGAGCCTGCTCGATTATTTGAGACGGGGGCCCGTGACGGGGCCGCTCGGGGGCCACTGACGCCAAGAGCGCCGCGTGGCGCCAGTGCGTTCGGGATCGCGCAATCGATGGCGCTGCCGCCCTTTTTGTTGCTTGTTCGCGCCCCCGCACGCCGTGGCGCGCCGCGGCCCGATTCGGCGACGATGGCCAGCTTCTCCCTGCGCCTGCGCCTTCTCGGCAGGCGCAGCCTGCTCGCACACGACTGGCGCCGCTGGTGCAAGGTGCAAGACAAAAACGCTCCGAGCTCGCAGGGCCCGAAGATCTCGGCCCATGATTTGACCAGCCCACGGGCCGGAGAGAGGCGCAGAGTGTTCCGCCCCTGCCCTCCTCGCTCCGCCTGCGCTGTCGACGGAGCTTGACCTGGGCAGGCTCTACTACCCCCCGACGAAGCCACATCTGTTCTGATTCATGCAGCGGGGGCCATCGAGGCCCAGCGTGACTGGCCTGAGCTGCGCAGAGATCTCGTTTTCTTAAGTTGAAACGCGGCGAGCACTGGGGGCCTGCGGCCCAGTGGCTGACTGACCCCACCCTTCGGTGCAACACATGTCACAGATATCCCCGGCGAAAGCCAACTATCAACATGTTCCAACTATCCCGCCTGTCAGTACCGAAAGGTGACAAAAAATGCAACCTAGTATCCAAACAAAACCCAATTTTTACCAACTATTCAAAAACGAAGACGACGACG